CAACCTCCCTGGCCACACAATAGCAGATGTAAAGGTAGCCATCTTACAGCAAAAAAAACTTCAGGACCAGACTCCAAAGAGAAACTGCTGAGCTTCCGTTCATTTGCAAATTTGACACCATCAGATCAGGATTAAACAAAGACTGTGAATGGCTATCCAACTACAGAAGCAGTTTCTCCTCCCTTGGTGTTCACACCTCAACTGCTAGAAGAGGGCCTCATCCTCCCTGATTGAACTAACCTTGTTATCTCCAGACTGATTCTTGCCAGCATATTTATACCTGCCTCTGGAAATTTCCATTACATGCGTCTGATGAAGTGGGCATTCACCCACGAAAGCTTATGCTCCAATACATCTGTTAGTCTTAAAGGTGCCACAAGACTCTCTGTTGTTTTTTACAGATCCAGACTAACACGGCTACCCCTCTGATACTTAGTCAATTAAGGCTCCTTAACCTTGCCAGAGTGGTGTAAAGGAGCCTTATTGTAAATGACAGTAACGGAATCCTCAGCTAGGAAGGTCTATGGGCTTTCTCACTTTTTTTCCTGTGCCAGAGAAGCACAATGGGGTTAGATTACAGCTCAGGGTGTATCAGTTTTTTGCTTGGAGAACCATACTTTTTGTTGGCTCATTTACATGTATGTGGTGCATTAGCTGGCAACATAGTTTTGACAGAATCAAGTAGTCTCAGTTACTGATAACGCTAATCCATCATAGATTCGTGAGACTGGAAGGGACTTCAAGAGGTCATCTAGTCCAGTCCCCTACACTCATGGCAGGACTAAGTATTATCTAGAATGGGATGGCCAACCTGAGCCTGAGAAGGAGTCAGAATTTACCAATGTACATTGCCAAAGAGCCACAGTAATATGTCAACAGTCCCCGTCAGCTCCCGTCCCCCGCTCCTAGTGCCTCCCACCCACCGGTAGCCCCACCGATCAGTGCCTCCCCTTCCCTCCCCGCACCTCCCGATCAGCTGTTTTGTGGCACGCAGGAGGCTCGGGGGAGGGGGAGGGCAAGGGGAGGAGTGAGGGCACGGCAGGCTCAGGGGAGGGGGTGGAAAGGGGTGGGGGGGGCAGGGCCTGGGGCAGAGCAGGGGGTTGAGCAGTGAGCACTCCCTGGCACGTTGGAAAGTTGGCACCTGTAGCTCCAGCCCCGGAGTCGGTGCCTATACAAGGAGCCGCCTATTAACTTCTGAAGAGCCACGTGTGGCTCTGGAGCCACAGGTTGGGCAACCCTGATCTAGACCACCCCTGACAGATGTTTGTCTAACCTACTCTTAAAAATCTCTAATGATGGAAACCCCACAAACTCCCTAAGCAATTTATTCCAGTGCTTAACCATCCTGACCATTAGGAAATTTTTCCTAACGTCCAGCCTAAACTGCCCTGGCTGCAATTAAGGCCATTGCTTCTTGCCCTATCCTTAGAGGTTAACAAGAACATTTTTTCACCCTCTTCCTTGTAACAACCTTTTATGTACTTGAAAACTCTTAACATGTCCCCTCTCAGTCTTCTCTTCTCCAGACTAAACAAACCCAATTTTTTCAATCTTCCCTCACAGGTCATGTTTTCTAGACCTTTAATCATTTTTGTTGCTCTCCTCTGAACTTTCTCCAATTTGTCCACATCTTTCCTGAAATGTGGTGCCCCAAAATGGACAGAATACTCCAGTTGAGGCCTAATCAGTGTGGAGTAGAGCAGAAGAATTACTTCTCATGTCTTGCTTACAACACTCCTGCTAACCATCCCAGAATGAAATTTGCCTTTTTGCAAGTGTTACACTGGTCATTCGTATGTGGCTTGTGATCCACTATGACCCCTAGATCCCTTTCTGCAGTACTTCTTTCTAAGCAGTCATTTCCCATTTTGCATGTTGTGACAGACCCAGACCAGTTGGGTGCAGGAGTCTGGTAGAAGGAAAATATACTAGCCACTGGATGAATAGTTTTCTGTTCCCTGAGTGACAAGAGCAGGGGCTGCCCTAGAGCAATCAGGAACCTGCTAGAACCAACTAAGACAGGCAAGCTAATTAAGACACCTGGAGCCAATTAAGAATGTACTAAAAGCAATTATGGCAGGCAGGCTAATCAGGACACCTGGTTTAAAAAGGACCTCCCATCAGTTAGTGAGTGGCATTCAAGGAGCAAGGAATGAGAAGGCGTGCTGCTGGATGACTGAAGAGTACGAGTGTTATCAAGCTTCAGGAGAAAGGTCCTGCGGTGAGGATAAAGAAGGTGCTGGGGGGAGGCCATGGGGAAGTAGCCCAGGGAGTTTTAGCTGTCACGCAGATGATACAGGAGATGTTGTAGACAGCTGCTATCCACGGGGCCTGGGCTGGAACCCAGTGTAGAGGGCAGGCCCGGGTTCTCCCCATCCGCCCAACTCCCTATCTGACACAGGAGGAGTTGATCTGGTCTGTGAGACATACCAAAGGGGAAGATCTAATTTGGAAAGGGATCTGGTCTGTCCCTGACCCACTAGGTGGGACAACAGAGACTGCAGAGATTGTTCTCCGTTTCCCCCATGCTGGCCAGTGATGAGGTTAGCTGAGTGAACGGCAGGTTTGAGCCTCTAGCAAAAACGGCCAAACTGAAGGCTGCCATGAATCTCTGAGGTAAGCAAATCCACCAGATAGCGCAGGACCCACCAAGGCAGAGGAGGAACTTTGTCACAATGTGTACAACTGATTGTTTCTTCCAAGTGGAGTACTTTGCATTTGTCCTTCTTGAATTTTATTCTATTTACTTCAGACTATTTCTCCAGTTTGTCCAGATCATTTTGAATTTTAATCCTATCCTCCAAAGCACTTGCAACCCCTCCCAGCTTGGTATCGTCCACAAACTTTGTAAGTGTACTCTCTATGCCATTATCTAAATCATTGATGAAGATATTGAACAGAATCAGACCCAGAACTAATCCCTGTGGGACCCCACTCAATATGCGCTTCCAGCTTAATTCTGAACCA